GGGCGCATTGATTGTGACGTGGTTCGAGATGCATTTTCACTACGTTGCAATTCTATAAAAAAATAATAAAATGATAATAATAAAAGCGGTTTAAACTTAAGAAAAGCACATAAGTCACAACATGTATTTAAATCAGATATTTAGCCATTGTAACAATTTAAGCGACCGTGCTAGAACCACGGGATTCGAGGGTGCCTAACACCTTCCCTCGGGTCAACAGAATTCCTTACTTAGAATTTTTGGTTCGCAGACTTCATTTGGAAAAGTCGAAAATTTCCTCGATTTGGGATTCAAGATAAACCGGTGACTTGGGACACCAAAAACCAAACCTTTCCTAAGTGGCGACTCTGAATTAAATAAATAATCTCATTTCGAATATTGTCACTTAAATTGGAAAATCTCCCTCGCGCATTTAACCCCCCGGGCCCGGGCGCGCAAGAAGGAGGTGTGACAGTGGGTACATAGCCAGTTATCAGGTACAGTGACATACTTGTTGTGTGGGTTGTAGGGAGTTTTCTCCCTTTGGAACCCGATGACCTGCTTGTTCCCACTATTGTTTTGATACATAGTAGTAACAACATTTGAGGACTAGGTCCACTTCAAGGATTTCTCAAGATCATTTCTTACTTTCTCCAACTCATATTGGAGTTGCTGATTCCTCTCGAGTTCACTGCAAAGACTAGTTTTTACAGCAGTTAACTCTTTTTCCAGCAAGATGTGCGACTCACTGGCTACTTCCTTCCCTTTCCCAAGACTTACTTTCCTATGTTCTCTATTGAGTCCCTCAATGGTTTCCTCTAGATCAGCGCATATCACTAGAAGGTCATCTCTTTCCTCTTCAATGGAAGCAATATTTCTTCTAAGGAATGTTTCTCATTGCTAATACCTTCTATTGTTTCTTTTATATCAACAACTACTACCATCAGATCATTTCTCTCACTCTCCACACTGGTTATTTTTTCATTTAGGGCCTCCTTCTCTAGTTCAAGATTAGTTATGGTTTCATTTAAGTCCACTACACATACCACTAGATCATCTCTAGATTGTTCGGCCTCCCCTAGTTCTTCAGTCAAGATCTCCTTATCATTTACAAGACTATAATAAGTGTCAATTAGGACATTTAATAAAGACCTTAGTTTCTTAGAGGAATAGAATTTCAGATTTTTCTGAACATCCCTGAACTTTACCTCATCGTCTTCATCTTCTTCATTATCATCATCTGAGCCATCAGTGCAAACAGTGAATCGTACTTTATTGCTTCAGTTTTCACTACCATCATGGAACTGTTTTCTGCATCTGATTCCCTTTCAGATTCACTTGAGGAGTCTCCCCAAGCAGCAAGAGCCTGCTTAGCGATATTGTCTGCAGTATTTTTTCGATTGAATCTTTTCTCTGGAACCAGGTTCCTTCTTCCAATTTTGTTAGGATTTTGCTTGTACTGCTCCTGTTTCGTGAGAGGGTAGTCTTTGATGAAATGCCCTGGGTTTCCACATCTGTGACAAAGATCGTTCTTCTTTGTTTTGCTTAAACTGGCCCACTTTCGTATGCCACTATTTCTTTGAACCATTTTTTGAAATCTCTTAGTAAGATAGGCCATGTCACTCTCTTCATCACTTGAATCATTCCTTTCAGCCTTAAGCACCAGGTTCTTTTCCTTCTTATGCTCTCTTCTTTTACTGTCTTTGTTTCTCTTCATCTCGTATGTTTTCAGATTACCAATCAACCCATCCTTGGTTAAGTCTGTAGATCTTTAGCTTCTGTGATGGCATTTACCTTACTTTCCCAAGACTCGGGTAGAACATTGAGAATTTTCCTTACAAGCTTGTTTCTAGGAATGACATCTCCAAGTGAGTGAAGCTCATTTATGATGGAGGTGAATCTGGTGTGCATATCTTGTATGGACTCATCATCCTTCATCCTGAAGAGCTCGTATTCAGTGGTGAGCATGTCGATCTTGGATTGTTTGACTTGAGTGGTTCCTTCGTGTGCAGTTTGTAAGGCTTCCCATATCTCCTTGGCAGTATCAAAAGCTGATACTCTATTGTACTCATCAGGTCCTATGCCACACATCAAGATTTTTTTGGCACGATAGTTCTTTTCTACAGCTTTTCTGTTAGTGTTGTTGTACTCTCTTCTCCCTTTGGGCACCAATGGTCCTGTTTCTTCAAGTTTCTTCATGGGAACATGTGGACCATCACGAATGATGTCCCACAGTTCTGAATCTTCAGCCATTATGAAATCATGAATCCGAGTCTTCCACTAGCGGTAGTATTGACCATTGAATCTGGGAGGTCTATAGGTTGATTGTCCTTCTTCAAAGTTTGGTGGAGCAGCCATTTAGGATCCTTCCTTGGTGTTAGCTTGATAGGAGGAATCGCTCTAATACCAATTGATAGCTTATACGAGTCCACCAAACTATAGAGTACCTGGTCCCGTACGAGACTGATACGTAGAATGTTGTAAAGGTTGAAAGTAAAGAAGGCAAGAGATTTTTCTACGTGGAAAAATCCCACACAAGGGGATCAAAAAACTATGACCTACTCTTGTAGGCTTTTAACTCAACTAACGTGTACTCTACCTATTACAAGCCACTTTGCAAAAACCCTATTGCAAAGACTTTAAACTAACTTATGATGCAACCACCACAAGCCACTCTCTAACTCTCCTAGTTACAGAGGATTTAATTTATGACTATTTCTAGTCACAACATAAACTCTAAAGTTTACAAATTTTGTTTGTTCCTAAAACAACACTTCTAAGAAAGCAAACTAGGACTTACAATGTAGAACAATTAACAAGATTACAACTCAACTATGGATATACATAAGACTTCGTTTAGAAACTGATCCTTAGTGGAGTTGTCTTCTTGTTCTTGACACACCAGTGGTTTCAATGCCGGATCGATGCTTCTTCTTCTTGAGAGAATATCACTGAATGCACAAGTGATGGTGTGTCTTGCACCAGGTTGTTTTATCACAAAAGATATCACAATAGATAGTGGTGTCAACTCTTGGTGTACTTTTTCTCAATGATAAGTGACTGCTGCATTGTCTGCACAACCACTTCTGGGCAGTTGCATTCCAGCTGGACTTTGTGCTTTATGTCAGGACATACTAACTGACCAGGTCCTAAAACTTATGTGAGGACATACACTAAGACCAGGTCCTAGTTGTGTTCCTCTTTCTGTAACAGTTGCCAGATGGTCACTTTCTTCTACTGCATTCCGGCTGTGCACTTGACTTGTACTTTGGTTAGAGAACCCTAAGGGAGCAGATCCCTGTTGTGTTCCTCTTTTTATTGACTGCGTACAGTTACTGACTTGTGCTTTTGTCGGAGAACCCTAAGGGACCAGGTCATCAGGTCCCTGTTGTGTTCCTCCATGTGGTCATTCATCCATTTGCTGATATTCATCCATATGAGATGTGTATCCTGTGGAGCAGGTTCTCTATCTGGTTCTTCACGACAAGTTTGTTAGATCATCAAAATATAAGGTTAATTAAAAACCCATCAATTATTATTAGTCAATATCGTTCCTCCAGGTAGTAATAAGGCTGTTCTTCCAGAGCCCTCAATTAATTGTGTACTACCATATATTACATTAACATAAGCCTTTTTCATAATCAAATAAGAGAAAATTTTCGTTTCTATTTAATTTTGTGAGTTGTAGCACTATCCCAAAAAGCATAAATCTTTATTACTCATCTTGGATCCAGTTTAAGACTGAAATTTTTTATTTTCTTCATAAAAAATCAAAGTTCACCATAAGAAATACGAAAAAAAACAATACCAACAACAACATAATACAACTTAAGTACTACTTGAAAATAAAAACAACTTTATAACGAGACAAATAAAAATACTGAAAATAAAAATAACAACATAATTGCATTCCCCGGTAAAATGATCAAACTTTAGTTTTGATCCCCAAAAAAATCTTCAACTTCCAAATGAGTTTGATCATCGAGGCCTTCAAAATCATCATCATTCAAAGCAAGATTTTCCTCGGCATTATCATCATTTTTGTTTGAAGGTCCTACCTCAAAATTATTTTTAAAGGTCAAGTGAGACTCAACTGGGGCATTAGCAGAAGATGCTCTGACATTATTTGTCTTTCTTTTGATGGAGTTTTGATAAAGCCTGACAAAATGCTTAGGTGCACGATATTCAATTTTCCAATGACCTTTCATGCCAAAGCGGTAGTCGTTACTACTTTTGCCTCTTGAAGGATTGTTTTGAGAATCAATATTGTTTTCTCATTTTTCATGACCACCACGATGACGATTATTATATCGTATTTTGTCATTGCCATTCCCACGTACATTCATATGATAATGATAATTATTCTATCTTTTTCCAGACTAATCACGTCTCACTACCACAGTAGCTTCAGGAATTGGAACTGACCCTGTGGGACGGGCTTCATAATTTTTCATCAAAACGATATTATGTTGCTCAACCACTAGAAGGTAAGAGATCAATTCAGAATACTTTTTAGAACCTCTTTCACGGTATTGCTGCTGTAATACCATATTTGAGGTATGAAAGGTCACAAGAGTCTTTTCCAACAAACTCTCATCATTCATAACATCCCCACATAGTTTTAGTTGGGAAGATATTCGAAATACAAAAACGTTATGCTCACTTACGGTCTTAAAATCTTGCAATCATAAGTACATCCACTCATATCGAGCCCTTGGCAATACCATAGCCTTAAGGTGATCATACCTTTCCTTCAAGCCAGCCCACAATTCAAATGGATCTTTCATTGTCAGATATTCAACCTTCAAACCTTTATCCAGATGATGGCAAAGGAAAATCATGTCCTTCGCTTTGTCCTGGCTTGATGCCTCATTACCCTGAGTAATGGTGTCACCAAGGCCTTTAGCAGCTAAGTGAATCTCAGCATCGAGAACCCATGATAGGTAATTCCTTCCAGAAATATCAAGTGCAACCAACTCAAGCTTTGACAAATTTGACATAGTGAAAACTATCAAAAAAGATAAATAATTAGAAATTATTAGGATAATAGTGTAAAGAAACGATTGACATAATATCAAATATGTGATCTATATACACTAAAGTGATAATTCCACAGAAAAGAATACTATTTTTTTTAAAATTATTAGAATATCTTTGATGTTAACTAGAGAAAAAATGTCTTCTAACTTTAACACAATTTCGACTGTCGAACAACATAAAACAAGTATTCTTCTCTCAATTAATTCTATTAACATGAAAATTAGCAACTTCCACGTGACGATCATGCAAACAACTTAAAATAAAGAAACATAGAATTTTTTATTTTTACACATGTCCAGAGGTGTGAGAAATTTAAAACTGCATATTAAAGACACTAATCATGGAATCAAAATATACCACTATTACGACCCTAAACCCGGACCCGGTCGTGGTGGCGCCTCTCATGAAGACAAGGCCAGCCGACACATTTCCCACTTCATTTTAAGCAATTAAAATTATAAGTTTTAAGTCTTTAACATGATAAAATCCCCAAAATAAGCAGTGAATAGTACAATTTACGAAATTTAAAACCAACACAGCCCGACATCGGAGTGTCACCAGTCATGAGCATCTATAATACAACAAGTCTGAAAGGTTCTACTCAAATTATTACAGAATACTAATAAGATAAATGAAATGAGATAGGGGGAGAAGCACGGGGCTGCGAACGCCGAGCAGCTACCTCGTGAACTCCGGAATCTGCTGGAAGCTCTCAACCCTCGCCAGCAGGACCTGAAGCACCTGAATCTGCACATGGGGTGTAGGGAGTAAGGTGAGTACTCCAACTCAGTGAGTAATAATAATAAATGCAGACTGAGTAATAAGTAACCACGTAAAGGCACAACAACAGACTATAAAGAAGCAGTAAAAGCCAGTAAAAACAGTGAAACAATGAAAGTAAGTAAAGTTCACCTTAATTCAGTTTAACTTCTTGAAATGTCTTTTTAACAATTAAGCAAGTATTTGATAGGCAAACAGGAAAGAAGAATCACATAAAGGATTGCCCATCGGGCACAATGTCAACAAACTCCGCCCCTCGGGTAATATCATAGAACAACACCAACCCCTCGGGCTATATCTCACACCACACTGGGTACCCGCGCTCACTGGAGGTATGCAGACTCCTGGAGGGGCCCCTTACGGCCCAAGCGCAATATCAAGCCATCTCGTGGCATCATCACTAGGCTCTCGGCCTCATATCAACAAGCCACCTTGTGGCGTACAAATCTCAGGCCCTCAGCCTCATAATCATAATCGGTATTTCCTCATAACATAGGCCCTCGGCCTTACTCAGTCAGAATCTCACAAGCCACTTGGGCAACAATAAAACATGGTGCTCAACCCAAAATATCATTTAAGTGTTAAAGCAGAGAAACATGGCCGAGTTATGAAAACAGTATAATATAGCATGACTAAGTACAAGTATAAAGTTAAAACAGTGAGGAAATATCAGTAAAAATCCCTTCAAGGTTCAAATAGTTGGCACGAGGCCCAAATATGGCATTCAACCCAAAACATGATGAAACAAAATAGATTTCAGTCAAATACACGGTAAGTACTCATTAGCGACGGACTAAGCCACAATCCCCAACAGTGCACGACCTCACGCTCGTCATCTAGAACGTGCGTCACCTCAATATAGCACAACAATGTGCAAATCCGGGGTTTCATACCCTCAGGACAACATTTACAATTATTACTCACCTTAATCCGGTCCAAACTCTAGCCCGCAATGCCTTTGCCCCTCAAATCGGCCTCAACTCACGTCAAATCTATCCAAAATCAGAATCACGACGTAAAAATATGCTAAGGGAACGAAGCTCATGCGAAAATAATTACTTTACAACATAAATCTCGAAATTACCAAAACCCGACCCTCGACCCATATCTCGGAATTCGATAAAATTTACACCAATAAATTCTTTATCTCCCCAAGGGTTCATACATATCAAAAGTACAAAAATCCGACCATAAATAGTCCCTCAAATCCTCAAGTCTAGGTCTCCAATACCAAGCCCTAGTTTCTCAAATTTAACCCTTAATTTCCATTAATTACAACTTTAATCCGTGAAATAATACCATAGAAACGAGTTTTAGACCCAAAATCCTTACCTCAATGAAATCCCCTTGAAATCCTTCTTCAAATTGCCCAAAAAGCTCCAAACCGACTTAGAAATGGTGGAATAGCTCAAAAATCGCGAAGGAAATAATTTATACCTTCTGGCCCAGGGATTTTGCATCTGCGGCCAAAATCCCGCTTCTGCAGTACCACTTTTTCGGTCCTTGAACTGCTTCTGCGGTTTTCACTTAAACCACTCAGACTTCGCTGCGATGCCTAACCCGCACCTGCACCATCGCAGGTGCGGTTCTTCTACCGCTTTTGCGGTTCCTGCCAACTTCACCATCTTCTGCATCTGTGGGGGTCGCACCTACGGCCTCCCAATGTTAGATTTTTTTATGACAATATATTCCAACTTCAGCTACCATTCCAAACTTCCATTCTTTCCGTCAACCATCCGAAATTACCCCGAGGCCACCGAGAGCTCAACCAAAAGCACAAACATATCATATACCACTACTCAAACTTGTACCAATCATCAAAACACCTCAAACAACATCGAATCAACCAAAACACATTGGATTCAAGCCTAAATTTCCAAAATATTTTCGAATTACGCTTTTGATCAAAAAGTATATCAATCCTCGTCCGAATGACCTAAAATTTTGCACACACATCCCAAATGACCCAAAAGAACTACTGCAACTTCCGGAATTCCATTCCAAGTCCTATATCAAAATCTCACCTACCAACCGGAAAACGCCAAAAATCCAATCTAACACATTCCGCCAAAACACATTCCGATCATGCTCCTAAGTCCCAAATCACCTCCCCAAACTATTCGAACCATAGGAATTCACTTCTGAGCCCTCTAACATATAAGTCAACATCCGGTTGACTTTTCCAACTTGAGCTTCCCCAAAAGAGACTAAGTGTCTCAAAACCTTTCCGAACCCGAGCCAACCAACCCGATCACATATAGAACCGATAAACAAAGCAATAAGAAGTAGAAATGGGGAAAACAAAGCGGTAACTCATGAGACAACTGGTCGGGTCGTCACATCCTCCCGCTCTTAAACAAACGTTTGTCCTCGAACGAGTCAAGAAACATACTTGAAGCCTCAAACAAATGAGGATATCTGCTCCGCATCTCCTGATCGGTCTCCCAGGTAGCCTCCTCCATAGGTCGACCTCTCTACTGCACTTTCACGGAAGCTATATCTTTTGATCTCAACTTTCGAACTTGATGCTCCAAGATAGCTACTGGCTCCACATCATAAGTCAAATCACCATCCAACTGAACCGTGCTGAAATCCAGAACATAAGACGGATCCCCAATATACTTCCGGAGCATAGAAACATGAAATATCGGATGCACACTTGACAAGCTGGGTGGCAAAGCAAGCTCATAAGCCACCTCCCCAATCCTCTGAAGCACCTCAAAAGGCCCAATGAACCGAGGGCTCAATTTACCCTTATTTCTAAACCTCATAACACCCTTCATGGGTGAAACCTTTAACAGAACCTTCTCACCAACCATGTAGGACACATCCCGAACCTTCCTGTCAGCATAACTCTTTTGTCTCGACTGTGCTGTACGAAGCCTCTCCTGAATCACCTTCACCTTTTCTAAAGCATCCTGTACCAAGTCTGTCCCCAATAGCCTAGCCTCACCCGGCTCAAACCAACCAACTAGAGATCTACACCACCTCTCATACAAAGCCTCATATGGAGCCATCTGAATACTCGACTGGTAGCTGTTGTTATAAGAAAATTCTGCAAGCGATAGAAACTGATCCCATGAGCCTCCAAAATCAATGATGCAAGCACGCAACATGTCCTCCAATATCTGAATAGTGCGCTCGAACTACCAGTCCGTCTGAGGGTAAAAAGTTGTGCTCAACTCAACTTAAGTACCCAACTTTCGCTGCACAGACCTCTAAAAATGCAAAGTAAACTGAGTGCCCCTATCTGAAATGATGGAAACTAGGACACCATGCAAACGAATAATCTCCCAGATATAGATCTCTGCCAACCGCTATGAAGAATAGGTAGTACACATAGGAATGAAGTGCGCGGACTTGGTCAGCTAATCCATAATCACCCAAATAGCATCAAACTTCTTCAAAGTCCGTGGGAGCCCAACTACAAAGTCCATGGTGATTCTCTCCCACTTCCACTTTGGAATATCCATCCGTTGAAGCAAACTACCTGGTTTCTGATGCTCATATTTCACTTGCTGACAATTGAGACACCGAGCTACAAATCCCACAATGTCTTTCTTGATTCTCCTCCACCAATAATGTCGTCTCAGATCCTGATACATCTTCACGACACCCGGATGAATGGAATACCGTGAGCTATGGGCCTCCTCCAGAATCAACTCCCGAAGCCCATCTACAATCGACACACATATCCGTCCCTACATCCTCAACACTCCATCATCACCAATAGTCACATCTCTGGCATCATCGTGCTAAACTCTATCCTTAAGGACAAGAAAATGAGGATCATCATACTGGCGCTCTCTGATGCGATCATATAAGGAAAACCGAGAAATCACACAAGCCAATACCCGACTAGGCTCCGAAATATCCAACCTCAAAAACCGATTGGCCAAGGCCTGAACATCAACTGCAAAAGGTCTCTCCCCAACTAGAATATATGCCAAACTCCCCATACTCACCGCCTTTCGGCTCAAAGCATCCGCCACCACATTGGCCTTCCCGCAGATGGTACAAAATAGTAATATCATAATCCTTTAACAACTCCAACCATCTCTGCTGCCTCAAATTAAGATACTTCTGCTTGAACAAGTGTTGGAGGCTACGATGATTAGTAAACACCTCACAAGACACACCATACAAATAACGCCTCCAAATCTTCAATGCGTAAACAATGACAACCAA